GGCCTGCCCCCTTCAATTCAGTGGGAGTCGCAGGGCTCATTTCTGGGACTGGCACCAGGGGGGCAATGGCTGGCAGAGGGTGGTAGGTGCAAGCTGAGACTTTTGGGAGCTTCAGGCATTGTGAAAACAGTCCCAACTTCTGAAAACTGGGGAGTCTGAGCGCCATGCAGTGCTGTGGAGTTTTGGAGTGGGTAGCAAAAGGCTTTAGGACTGAAATTGTAAAAGAAACATGATATGAGAAGCATTTGTCCCTTTAAAGCATCCATGTTGGACAGTAAGAGGTCATCCTCCCTTGTTCAAGAGCTGAAACTGGCCCAGGGACTGACATTTGACCCAGGGCTTCAAAAGGGCATTGCAGGTAGAGCAGGCCAAAAATTTAAAAAACTAATTTAAGTATTGAAAAATCCACAGAAAAATCTCATTTAGTATCTAAAAATCTACAGACAATTCTAACTTATCTAAAACTCTTCTAAAGCATGGCTGCAACCAGGAAAAAGCTATTCCGTGTCATGATAAAACCACAGGAAATCATTAACTTAATATATTAATAATTATGTGTGTGTCTACACTCCAAAACCAGCCCAAATCAGGCAGGAGTTTACAATCTCTCCAACCTGTCCCTCATGGCAAATTCTCAAATTTACCATCATGGCAAATTTACCTCATGGTAAAAGCAAGAACGGATGAGCTCAGGTTTTTGTCAAACAACCCCTGGAAGCGGGAATACGGAGGGGCTCCCCGCGCAGCAGATCTGTAAGCAGTGAAAGCAGAGGGGAGATGGTCCTGGGGAAAGCCGGTAACCCGCGGCGGGACCGCAGGGGAGTCAGGGCCCTCGCATCACCTTACCTCTCCGCCTGTGCTTCCCGCCGGGGTCCCCTCTCCCGCCGCCCCCGGCTGCTCGGGCGGCTGCGGCGCAGCCAGGTCCTCCTGCCAAGTCACAAGAGAGATGTCTGTCCTCACCGCCACATGCAGAGTCATTGCCCTCATCTCAGACAGACCATTTGAGCAGACTGTGCGAAACGGGCTTCAGCAAAAAAACCACCGGGTTTAGTAGATGGCAAATATTGCTCGAAATCCATTTTTTGTGCAGCTTGTTAGAACAGATGTCTATAAAAAAGCAATTCAATGTCTTGCAGCCTGGTTTAGGGTCTTTTCCATACAGAAAATCAGTATTTTTTCCTGAAGTTTTCTTTCCTGTCACCTAGACCAGAGTTTCAACTCCTTCAGTGTGAATAAATTTGGGAGGAACAAACAAATTTACCTAGAGTAAGACAGACTATGCCCTAGCCTTTCCCCACATTATCTTACTTACCCTAAGCACTCATCGCACAGACTAATCCTAATTTCAGATATAGCAGTATGGTGGTGGCCTCAAATAAAATGTCATTATCAAAGGATAAATTTTCTTTTTGTTTAAAGTCCAAGCACTTTCATAAGCACTTTGGGCTCTTTCAGCTACATGCCCACATCTTTCAGCTTCCTTCTTTTTCAAAGAAGTAAAGAAAACGTAGTATTAGCAGGAAATTTGGCCACATGGGAAGAGAAGACAGAATTCCTGACCATGCTGGATGTGCACAGGGGATGGGCAGAAAGCAGAAACGCACCTTTGTGGGGTAGGAGCAGGGGGAAGCAGAAATAGCAGGACCTCTACAGTCCAGCTCCAAATTATCAGGGAACTCTGCCAAAATTACCAAGCTTCTGCGTTCCCTTTGAGCACATATGCCTGGCAGTATCCCTGAATTTTTACTCTCTTTTCCCACATGAAATCAGGGCCATCACAGAAAGAACCTGAGACACATATATTACATAAAGGAAAAGTCAATTTTGCATGGAAGGGAGATATGTAATTTGAATTTCAATATTTTGGGAACATGAGGGTCACCACTTCCCATGGTGCTGCTGCTGATGCAGTGCAAATCAACCGACCCTGTCAAACCTGCTGTAAACAGAACTTTATGCCCTGTGTGTTTTGGGGGGCTCCACTCTTCATTTTCACGTGTGTCCTTATTTTCCAGTCCAGCCACGACTGTTCTCATCAGTAGGAGAACATCCCTGTTGCTTTTGGGACTGAACTAGGGGAGAAAAGGTAATGTGAAATAAAAAGGACAAAATAGACGTATTTCACAGCGTTACACAAACATAAGGTAGATCTCATAAAAAATTAAGCTGGAAATGGGACTTCAGATCCATTTCTGGGAGGAGGGGGAGCTGGGAGATCAAAGCACTGCAACCTGGTTGTCCTGCCACAGGCGTCCTGCTCTCCGCACAAGCTACCCTAAGAGTTCAATCCACCAAAGACAGAAAATGGCCAAAAGATGAGCCACAGCCCAGAACTGATGTCTGTCACAGCTCCAGGCACTCCCTTCACCTCGCTGCTGAGAGTCCATTAGCTTGTTTGGAGAGCGCGCCATGCACTGTGGGTGTCTCCATCTGAAAAGCACAGTGGGAATTTTTTCCCACCCCCAAAAGAAACATGCCCTTAATTTGCATCGCATTGTTGGCTGAAATGATTCTTGCCAGCATCAGCCTGATTTGTGTTAATTAAGCCCAGGTAACCTAATGGCATCAAATTGCACACACCAGAGACCAGGTTCTGGTCTCCAGGTCCTGGTGCAGCAGGGACCGGAGGCTGCCGGGGAGAGGCCACGGCTCTGATGGAGCTGCTGAGCCACTGCATTTCTGAAATGAGTGAACTCTCGTGTTGTCAGCAAACAGAACTCACTACGCTGAATCTGTGGAGGCTGACCCGGCCACGGGATCCAGCCTGTGGCTTTAAAACACTTAACAAGCGTATAGGGCTGTATAAAAAGGACTACACCTCATAAGTCAGCAGTGTCAAAGCAGGTAAATAGCCTCAAATTGTATTTTGAGGTTTTAAAGGTTTTTTCAACTGTTAGGCGGAAAGAAAAGAAACCTGCAGTGTGAGCCAATGACAATAGCTGCAACAGCAGGCCCTCCGCAGGGTTTTTGCAGGTGGGGCTACCAGATGCCATGTGAAATCATGAAGGTGAATCAAAGGCGACAGCCTGAGGCACCGAGCATTGGGAAATCTAGGGGATGGCTCATAGGAACACAAGGAAAAGTGCAGTGCACCCCAACTTTCTACAGGGCATGATCACCTATACTCTTCCTGTGGGCAGAGAGCTCAGCTCTGGCAGACGTGGAAACGGCTGTGGAAAAGGGGATCCCCTCCTCAGGACCACCCTCAGGACACTGCACCCGAGAGCAATGGGTGGGCTGAAGAATCTCTGTTCAGCCCTTGTGCTGCTTATTATATCCCTTAGACTGCGCTCTCTGCCAGGACTCGGCTCCAGAAGGATAGCACTGACTCATCCATCTATTTTTAGAAAGGGAAGCAACCATGTTTCTGGCGAGTGTTTCTAAACCCGGTGAAGGAATGAGCACAATCGCAGGATGAAGAGGTGTCAGGCCGTGTTCGGGACCTTGTCTCACAGCCTTTTTCTCACGCGCTTCCCACCCTGCCCAGAACAGGGAGCAGGAGCTGAGGAAGGGCTGCATTCTTCAGCTGGGCGTTAGCTGCCCGGGGATCTCGGTGACTAGTCAGGAAAACAAGATGCAGAGGAGGACCACACGGTGCAAGAGTCCTCACTTGGGATGAAGAGGCAGAAACCCCTGGGTACCATCCCCACCTAAAACGCTGACTCACAGCGTGATGCTGGCCTAGAACGTCAGGGTGAAAAGCCAGCTTCTCTGGAGGACACCAAGAGCTTTGCCATTCCTTTCAGGGTTCATCTCCTCATTAAAGGGGATAAAATGTTCTAAAGGAAAGAAAGGCATGTTGCAACCTTAAAGTAATTAGTAACGCTCCTGCTCTTAAACGGCAAGCAGAATTCTTTTTCCTCTCAGAAATTATGTATTGTCTCAGAAAAAGTATTTAAAATTAAAAAAAAAGATTTAGTTTGTTATGGGCTGGTTTTTTCCTTTTTTTTTCTGGGGTGGGGGGCGGGCCTTGAATCTTTTCAGCTAGTGAAGACAGAAAAACGAAGTAGTTCAACTTAACAGTTAGGTGAAACCTAAGACATCAGAATTAATTACAGGAATTCTATACAGGTATTTAGATATTTTATATATATATCAATATATTTACATATAGAATATATGCACTTGAGAACATTTCTATATATAAAATACAATATTTCACTAAGGTTATGAAATATAGCTACACGTTCAGATATCACTAATGAAAAATGTGACACATGAGGGCCTGTTCCATTAGGACCCATTCCTACGGAATGTTAAGCGGTCTTAAATAGAGCATACTATAGGTTTCTAGGTTCAGATATTTTAATATGTTTTTTGAAGAGAGATTTTAAAAGTTCACATTTTGAAAAAAAAAATTACTTTTTGATTCTTCAGATTTATTTAATTCACAGGTTCTAGGAAATTCCCTTTTCAGCTCAGCGTGTTTTATGTTCCACTGGCTGAGTCTGTACATGAAATGGAATTCACATTTTTAGCCATATTATGTTACAGGCCAGTATTTTTTTTCCACCATTCCCAAAAATTTCGAGGTGAACAACCGTGTCAGGATTATCTTCACCATCTAACATAGAAATCACTCAGAGTTTAAATGTTGGATGCTGGAACATTACTCATCAAGAACTCAACAAATTCAGTGATAAGCAAGACTTATTATTGTTGTTATTATTATTACTATTATTTTAAGGCTGCAAAACCAGAGGGGTTCACTGGCAACCTAATCTGCTACAAATTTAACAGCCCACCATGGGCCATCAATTGCGTAAGGAGGAGAAAGGTTCAGCCTCCTCTAGTGCTCTCGACCTTGGGCGTTGGAGAAAAAGCAATGCTTCTTGGCAGCATCCCCAAACCACTCCCTTGTAAACCCGCAGGGAACCTGACAGGTCCTATGGACAGGCTGTCCTGGATGGGTTTCAGGCTGAATGTGCTTGGAGCAATGCTGACAGCTCTGACTAAGAGGTCAACTCGTGATTAAAGTGAGTGGAGCCACCGACAGGACAGACAGATGGGAGTGCAGGATTCCTGTCCTACCCTACAAACCCAGGTGGACTCTTGGGCTAGCTTTGTTTTTATCCAGCTCACAGCCAGGCTCTCTTAGGATCTCCAGGAGCTGCTTATTCAAATAATACATATTTAATAATGTTTACATTATTATCCTACAGGATTACTGGGGCATAGCCATTAGCCACGAAGCACACACAGACTTGTAGACTTTAAGGCTTCACCAGTACCACTAACTCAGCTATTCTGCATGTGAAAAACGTACGCCTGGACACACTAATGAGCCTGAGAGGGAAGCACAGAAGTGGCTGTAGGAAGAGTACCCCCCTCCATGCTGCTTTTGCAGGCTCCCCCGCTCCATGGGATGCTGAAGGATAACACTGGGATGCATCACTGCATTAGTGAAGTACAGTGAAGCTTGAATACGAAGGATGAAGCTTGAATACAAAGAGGAAGAGTTTCAACTACTCATTTTATGTAATTGTAAGGTGGTTGGGCTGTTGATTTCCCTGCTCCTCCTGCTTAGCAGCCCTGCCCTTGGTGGCCTCGCAGGTGCCCTTCGTTGCTCTCTGCTTGTGGAACTCGCCCTGCCCAGGTGAAATTCAACTGGGAAGTCACTCCTCAGTTTCTGCTTCCAATTTCTGTCTTAGTGTTGGCGGCGTCACAGGGTTTAAGCGAACAGAATTAAGGCGGTGAATGCCAACCGTTCGCATTCAGAGCGGCAGTCGCCAGGAAAGCGATAAGCCACGCTACGGGTGCGGTGCACGTGCGCCAGATCACGCACAGGGAGAAACAATGTGATCCAACCAACGCGCCCGGCGGTTGCTCGTAACTGACAACTGCCCAAATACTTAATGGAGTGAAACGGAATCAAAAAAAGAGCTCAAACCCAATTCAAAATGACAGAGCTGTGAACTGACAACGAAACCATATGAAGACTGACGGGGCAAATAGCTCTGACGGGGCAAACGTTCCCAAGGGACGTTTTGTGAGTGTGCGTGTGTACGTACGCACACTTGTTCCCCACCACGTGGTGTCTGCAATGCAGCAAACTGTGCTGCGTCATGCAGACAAAGAATTAATCCTCTCCCGAGACAGGGATATTTAGTGGGCGGTTGTCTCACTGAAATCCCTTAATGTCCACCCCAGGGACTGGGATGGGTGCAGAGCCACAGAGAAAACACATTACTGACGGCTCTTATTTCTTTGTGTATCAGAAAAATTGTGGAGGATTTATCATCTTTTAACTTACATTTTTTTTTTTTAGTTAATACTTAAAAAGTCCTCCAAATCAATCAGTACTTCCTCATGCTCAGTTAGCAGTGACCAGACCAAGCCCACCTCGGCAATGCCAACACTGCTCGAGGTTGCTCTCACCTGGTGCTCG